CCCTATAGTTTTGCTTTTTCCAAAATGTCATATGAATGGAATCATACAGTAAGTAACTTTTTAAGTCTGGCTTCTTTGAGTCAGCATAATGCATTGAGATTCATTTATGTGTCATCTTTTTTGATAGTTCTCTCTGTTCCACTGCCCCTTCTTGTGTTTTGGCTGAGTTGGTTTTCATTATAAGGATATACCAGCGTTTGTTTACCCACGGAGCAGTTTAAGGACATTTGGATTATTTACAGTTTTTAGCAATTTTGAATAAAGTCACTATAAACACTTGCATATAGGTTTTTGTGTAAATGTTAAGTTTTCATTTCTTTTGGGAAATTACCTAGGATAGGATTGCTGAGTCATATGAGAACATATATTTAACTTTACAAGAAATGGCCAAGTGTTTCTAAGGTAGTTGTGCCATTTTGCATCCCTAGGAGCAACATTTTTCTCTGCTTATCTATCTGGTTTTCCAATATTGCCATATTTTGCTTCTAAATATTTCTTCTGTTATTTTATGGGACTTAAGAAAATGGGAATGTGACACCAAAATATCTTTATTATTTATAGTGCCTAATTTGTGAATTTTTCCCCCTTTTGTAATTGGAATTTTGGTGTGTTTTAATTTATTACATATAATGTGCTCCATACATTTTAGAGATTAAAATACCTGTATTTTTGCTGGAAAAATTTCCCCTTCTTTTCATCCTCTAATGTACATGGTTGTAAAAATAAAACAGAATATATAATGCTTTACTATATCATTTGATAACCATCTATTGGGTACCTACAATGTGTGAGGCATGGGAATATACTCTGAAAATAAGAAAAATTTTGTAAAGTGCTTTATCACGTAGAAAGTACTTTCAAATGTATTATTTAATTCTATATAAGTAAGTAAAAAGAAACACAACCCCCTACAACCAAACATTCTTTTCATGTATATACTGTAGCCAGTTGAAAGGCACAGAGAATATGAGAATGAACACTAGGACAAAAGATGATGTGTTTAATTGGCTAAGGGATGGAGGAAGTTGGAGAAACAGTTAACAAATGTGTGAGTGGGAGACTGGGAAGTGGAGAGAGAAAGGACATTCAGTGAATATTGGGTAAGCATGTTTGTCCCACCCTGAAATTCTTTTGGGTATCTTTACAATGCACTTTCACTTTTTAAAAGTTGTCTTTTGAAATGCTGATTAACTAGTTACCTATCTTTTCCACCAAGTTGTTCCCAGAGAAGCTACTTAACTTTGGGCAACTACCACCACCCCCAGGAAAAGAAATCTTAGATAAAATGGGAGTAGCTTTGGAAAGGCAGACTATGAAGTTTCTCCTTTCAGGAAAAGTTTTGTAACAGTCCTTAACTAAAGTTGAGCCACACTGTTTTTTTCTAGTCATCTCAAATTTGTGGCATCTTGGTTGAATTGAGGCAGTGAATGTGGAGCTGACTACTAGGAATATGTTGAAATTTTAAAACATCAAGCCATTGTTTACAAATTGAGCCCTGTACTTGTATAAGTATTATGATGCTTATTGCCAGAATACTAAATTCATGGACATTATGTGAAGATAAGTGATTTTAATATATGAAAACAGCATATAGTCCTGTTTAAACATTCCATTGAAAGTGTTATCATTACTTACACAAAAACAGAAAGCACACTGCATTTTGAAGCCTGTATTTCCTCATCCTTCCTGAAAGCTATTTTATGAGTTACCAGGTTTCATTCTGATATTTTTGATTTAATATACCAACACTATAATAGCAGCATTATTCACAATAGCTAAGAGGTGGAAGCCACCGAAATGCCTGTCAACAGATGAATGGATAAACAAAATGTGATATATATACCTGGCTCTCTCTTCCACAAAAATCTCTCTTTCCCTTAGAGTTGTGAGCTGACATTTGGAAATCCAGTTACCCTGAAGCTGAGAGACCGCAGAGAGAGATGCTAGACGGGTTACAACTATTCCAACCCTCAGCTGGTGGAGTCTCCCTGCTGAGCTATCAGAGATGTGAGTGGGAAAGCCTTCACATGAATCTAGCTCCCAACCTTTGTACCTCTCTAGCTGAGACCTGGTGGAGCCAGGCCATGGGCTGCACCAGCTGCACATTAAGGCAGAGAAGAGCTGCCCCTGCTGAACCTTTTCCAAACTGTAACAAAAATGTTGTTTTAAGTCACTAGGTTTTAGGGTATTTGTTACAATTTTAATTGGAACAATTACAGACCCATTATTTTCTGGCATGTGCTTCCATTTGGGTTTGCCTGATGTTTACTCATGGTTGGATTATGCACTTTCTGCAAGACACCATGAAGTAATACTGGGCTGTACTCACTGCATCTGTCAGGTGACACACAATGCTCATTTGTTCATTACTGTTGATGTTAATTTCGATCAGTTGAGTAAGGAGGGGTCTTTAGTTTTCTCCACTACAAAGTTACTCTTTTTCCTTGTATAATTAATGATTAGTTTGTAGAGCAATACTTTGAGACCATGTAAAAGAAAACCCTATTCTAGATCCATCTTTCATTCACAAGTCCTACCACCCATTGATGATTCTTGCTTGAATTTATTATATCTGTGATGGATGCAAAATGACGATTTTCTAATCCAAGTATTCCTTTGACTTTTATTCATTCACATTCTAAGGGTTTTCTCACCAGTAAATAATCAATCTGTATCATCAGACTGATGCACTCCTAATTTAATCAGTGGATATAATCTGTTTACTATCACTACTTATTTTGATATATTGTCCCAGATTTGGGCAGTAAAAGTCCTTTCAAAATAACTTCTGTGTCCCTCTGACCTATCCCCATCATTCTCTGAGCATTTCCTTACTTCCTGGCACAAAAAGATGTTCCTGCTCACTTTGTCCTTGCCTTAGTTCTGAAGTCAAGCTTTTTTCCAAGAAGTCCTGATTTGTCTTGACGGACAATGGTATTTAGAAACCAGTATCTGGGTGATAGGTTTGCTCTTTGTTAGCAGGATGATACTACTCCAGGCATTTTCTGTGTAGAGACACAAGTGAACAGGTAAATACAGTAGAGGACAGTGAGTACTAATGAAGAGGAAGGATTATAGGAGCACAAAAGAGGAACAGATATCTAACCCAAGACTTCAAAGTTGTAGGGAAGAGAATAGAAATATTATAGAATATATTTATGTGCAAAAGGCTTGAGTCAACACAGAGCATGTCATGTTTATGGAACTGAAGCAGTTTAATATGGCTAGACAATTGATTAAGGGTGGCAGTGGCTAGAGAGCAGGCTGAAAGTGAAGATGTGTTGGCCAAATCTGCAAGTACCAAATAAGCCCTATTAGAAGTTTGGAGTTTATCCTGAGAGCAATGGGGAGCCATTAAGAAGATTCCGAGAGAGGGATATATGATCAGAATTATTTTAAAACAGTTGTTTTCAATTAAAAACAAACAAAATTCATGTACCATCCTAAAAGGATTTTGAAAAACTTTGTACTTCCTTCCACATTTTAAGTTGACATCTAATATTTTTCATAAGTTAAAAGTTAATTTTTTTGTTAGTGGGACATTTAAAATATTATTCATTTTTAAAGATGAAATAAGATGACCATGGGTTATTCTAGAAATAAATACTTTATAATATGATACTCACCAAATCTGAAGTCCTATAAAATTTCTATCTGTGAATTTTATCAAATGTTTCTCAAAACATGTGTTGACTCCACAAACCACATAATTACATTTCTAAGTATTGGCATCACTATTCTATGTTGCCTAAGTTGTTCTGAATTCAGGGCAATCTTCACCCTTAATGAAAAGAAGTATAAGACAAATAAAGGAAGGAAAACCGTATACATTTAAGATGCCTCAACTAATCATGAAAAGAGGCCAGACTTTTACTTCTGCCACATATGGAGTTACAGGAATGGGATTTATCCTTTTGCCTGAAACAATTAAAAAAAATTACTCAGACAAAAAATATGAAGCAATGGTTTCAAAATACTAGATATCAAACATCATAGGACAGTGACCACTGAGAGGCAACAAAAGAGATGAGCCCTTCAATTGCCCCAGCTTGCCACCTTGAGAATCCTTATATAGACACAAACCTAACTATATCAATAATCACATTAAGTATAAATCATCATCTAAACATACAATTAAAAGAAATTGGCAATCAGACAAAAAAATAAGACCTCATTTTTTGCTGCCTACATGAAACACTTTAAACAAAAAGACACCAGTAGGTTAAAGGATTGCAAAAGATGTATCATCCAAGACCAGTCAAAGTACGCATGATATTTTAATATTGGATGAAGTAAATGTCAAAGTAAAGAATATTATCAGAGATAAAGAATATCATTTTTCATAATGATAAAGTGATCGATAACAATTCTATATATTTATGACCCTAATAACAGAACTTCAAAATACATGAAGCAAAGGCTTATAGAACTACAAGGAGCAGTTGATAAAATCACAATTTTAGTTGGAGATTTTAGTATCCCTCTCTCAGTCACTGATAGAACAAATGAACAGAAAATCAGCAAGAAATAACATTCTTGAACAATACTATCAACCAACTTGACCTTTTTGCCATTTATAGGACATGCCTTTCAACAACAGCAGAATGCACATTCTTTTCAAGTACACACAGAACATTAACCAAGATAGACCATATTCTTAATCATAAAACAAATATTAGTAAATTTAAATGGATTCAAGTAATACAAAAATATTTTCTCTAAGAACAAGGAAATTAAATTAGAACCAGTAACAGATCTCTGGAAAATCCTCAAACATTTGTAAAGTAAATAACATGTTTTTAAATAACCCATGGGCCAAAGATGAACTAAAAAGGGAAATTAGACACTAGAACAGAATGAAAATGAAAAGATGATATATCAGAATTTGTGAGATATCACTACAGTAATATTTCACAGGAAGTTCATAGAGGTAAGTACCTCATTACAAAAGAAGGTCTCAAATAAGTGCTCTTAGATTCCAACTTAAGAAACTAGAAAAAGTGCTCGTTTGGGCAGCACATATACTAAAATTGGAACAATACAGAGAAGTCTAGTATGGCCCCTAAGCAAGGATGACATGCAAATTTGTGAAGCATTCCATACTTCTCATCCTGTTGTTATGAAAAAAAAGAAACTAGAATGAGCAAATTAAACATGAAGTCAAGGAAACAGAAAGCAGAAAAACTACATATGTATCTAAGAACTATTCTTTGAGAGGACCAATACAATCGGTAAACTAGCCAGACTGATGAGGAAAACTACAGAGAAAATTCACAAATTTCTTGAAAGACACAAATAGCCAAAGCTCACTCAGAAAATAGATAACCTGAAGAGCTCTGTATCTATTTTTTAAAATTGAATTTGTAGTTAAAAGCCTCATTACAAAAAAAACTTCAGAATCAGATGACTTCACTGATGAATACTACCAAACTTTCAAGGAAGAAATAAAATCAATTCTATACCAACTGTTGAAGAAATAATTCTACACAAATTCTCAACTTTATTATTTGAGGCTGACATTACACTTACATGAAAACCAGTCAACTGCAATCTAATATTCCTCACAAACATGGATATTCCTTATGCAAATATCCCAAACCAAAGTTTTGGCAACTCCAATGCAATATATATAAAGGAAAATGCATCATGATTACTTTAAGTTTGACAGGAATGTAGGGATGGTTTAACATTCAAAAATCAATCAATGTAATTTACCACTTTAACAAACTGCAAAAAGAAAAAAACATATAACAGTCTCAATATACATAGAAAAAGCATTTGACAATATCCAGTCCTGATGAAAACTCTCAGCAAAATAGGAACCGAAAGGAACTTTCTCAACTTGATAAAGGGTACCTATGAAAAAGTACAGCTCATGGCTTAAAAACTGAATATTTTCCCTCCAATATCATGGTGTCGGTGAGATTGGGCATAAAAATTTGGGAAGTTTTGTTCTGGACTTGTTGAGATTGGGCCCAACATGCCACTGAACATCTAATTTGGGATGGAGTAACATGGATCTGGAGCTCAGAAGTGAGAGCTCTCAGGACATAGAGCCTATTAAGGATATTTAAAACAAGTTTATATTTTAAAACAAGTGGCTCAGGGGAAGACAGGTGAAGAATAAGGTGAGAAGAGATTTAAAATGGAAATACGGAAGAAAACCAACATTTAAGCTTTTTCCTGTAGGATTGAGGAACAGGGACCAAGACACTTCTACAACACAAAGTAAGTGAAACCTAGTGTCTTGCCAATGTTTCAGCCCTGGGCAAGTTCGCTATGGATTCAGTGTGACCAAAGAAACTGGCAGCAAAACGTTCTTTGGGGTGAAAGGGTTTATTACCAGGCTTGTTCTCTGGCGGTAGGTTGAGCACTAGCATCTCTGCCTCCGCCCAAACCACTGGGCCGAGCTCTCTATGTAGCGCAATAATAGCTTATATTGCCTAAAGGTGTGGCAGTGGTAGCCTAGCAACAGGCCAGTCACATCATCAGGTGGTTTAAGTTCACTGAGGATCCTGGCCATAGGAACCCAACTTCCCCACACCTAAGTTTAAGAAAGAGGGAGGGGTCAACAGAGACAAAAGTTGCGGGAAAAAAATTTAAAATACGAGGATTCTGGTACATGCTAATAGTCTTTATAAACACATGTGACCACTAGAATATATCTAAACTATATATTACTATAGATTTAATTTAGCCATTTCATAATCCTCCATATCACATCACATTCTGGGTGGCTGTTCATACAAGTTGAGGCCTTCCTATTGGATCGACCCTGTTCTATGGATTATTCATACAGATCTACCAAGAGAACCTTACAGTATCCATGGCTTTAGAAAGTTGAGGTATCCATTTCTCAGCTCAAAAAAGAGTAAATTTTCATTAAGTCAGAGGTCCACTAGGGCCTTGGGCCTTTTGTTCCTATTGTATTTGAATAATAAGAATCTATTCTTTTCTTCTTACTCCTATACCCAGAGGCAGAGGCACGTTATCTCAACGAGCCTCAATTTCCTCATTAGTAAAAGATGGATAAAGACATCAATCCTACTTAACTACTAGATGGGATTGGTTAGAATAAAATGAGTTTTTGGAAGCCAGGGTTATCGCACTGTGATTCCTTAATACCTGGACTAGAGTCTGACACAGCATGCGCTCAGCAAATGTCGGCTCTGTTAAAATAACTAAGAGTTTGTTAAAAATCTTGGTTACCTGGAAGCAGTTCCAAGTGTTATTTATTCTGCAACACCGACTTAAGCCCCCAGGTGCCCAAATTAAAAGTAATACCTCGTCTTCATGGGTGCCAAGAAATAGGGAGAAGGACTGCAGCCCCTTTCCGACAATTCAAATGAAAACATTGCTTCACAGACTTTCATGACCTCGGCCCAGTTTCCCACCAGACTGCTGCTCCCAAACCCATTTCTTTTGGAAATTCTGCACCTGCTGTAGAACTTTTGAGGAATCTATGGGATCAAATATCACTTTGACGTCCCTTGAGATGTCGCCCCAAAACCCTTCAAAGCAGCCTTGGCCTCCCCCATCTCTCTCAACCTGAGATGGGGGTGGCGCCACCGGCTGAGTTCCCCCAGAGGTCCATCTTTCGTGGGGGATTCCCACTCCGTGCCTCCAGCTTCTTGCAGCAGTCAAAGGCTGCAGACTGGAGGGCCTACTCCAAGCCGCCTGAGGCTTGGGGTTTCCTCGGAGGGCGGGCCTATAGGCGGGGGTGGGGCTACCGCCACAGGCCCCTCCTCCGAGGGTCCGGGCCCGCGCGGCGGCGGGAGGGACCGGCGGAACGCGGGCTACTGCGGGCTCCTCTGACAGCTACACTGTGCGGGGGTAGGGTAGGTTCCTTCCCTAGGGGGCGGATCTCGGTGCTGGGGGCGGGTCCAGAAGCCTCAGGCCCTCTCTTCCCGTGGGCCGGCCGACCAAAGACAGGGCGGGTTTCCTCCCCCGAAGGGCGGGCCTGGCGCCGAAGGCCCCTCCTCCCGAGGAGGGCTTGTTTGGCGGCGGCGGCCGCACGGGGGGAGCCCGCGGCTCCGCAGCCTAGCCAAACGGGCTCTGGCTCCGCCCAGTGGCCGGCCGGGGCGGAAGCAGGAGGCGGGGGCAGCGTGCGCGCTGCTGGTCTCCTCTCCCGCGGCGCTGGGGCCCGCGCTCCGCGGCTGCTGCTGGATTCGGCGCTTCGCCCGCGGCCAGCTCCTCTCCGTGCCGGTCCGCTCTTCGCCAAGGCCTCCTCCTCAGACCCGGCCCGCGGCGTTGACCTCACCGGCCCTCTCCCGCCCCGTCTCATACTTTCGCCGCCGTAGCCCCGGCCCCGGCCCCGATGACTTGCCAATGTTTCAGCCCTGGGCAAGTTCGCTATGGATTCAGTGTGACCAAAGAAACTGGCAGCAAAACGTTCTTTGGGGTGAAAGGGTTTATTACCAGGCTTGTTCTCTGGCGGTAGGTTGAGCACTAGCGTCTCTGCCTCCGCCCAAACCACTGGGCCGAGCTCTCTATGTAGCGCAATAATAGCTTATATTGCCTAAAGGTGTGGCAGTGGTAGCCTAGCAACAGGCCAGTCACATCATCAGGTGGTTTAAGTTCACTGAGGATCCTGGCCATAGGAACCCAACTTCCCCACACCTAAGTTTAAGAAAGAGGGAGGGGTCAACAGAGACAAAAGTTGCGGGAAAAAAATTTAAAATACGAGGATTCTGGTACATGCTAATAGTCTTTATAAACACATGTGACCACTAGAATATATCTAAACTATATATTACTATAGATTTAATTTAGCCATTTCATAATCCTCCATATCACATCACATTCTGGGTGGCTGTTCATACAAGTTGAGGCCTTCCTATTGGATCGACCCTGTTCTATGGATTATTCATACAGATCTACCAAGAGAACCTTACAGTATCCATGGCTTTAGAAAGTTGAGGTATCCATTTCTCAGCTCAAAAAAGAGTAAATTTTCATTAAGTCAGAGGTCCACTAGGGCCTTGGGCCTTTTGTTCCTATTGTATTTGAATAATAAGAATCTATTCTTTTCTTCTTACTCCTATACCCAGAGGCAGAGGCACGTTATCTCAACGAGCCTCAATTTCCTCATTAGTAAAAGATGGATAAAGACATCAATCCTACTTAACTACTAGATGGGATTGGTTAGAATAAAATGAGTTTTTGGAAGCCAGGGTTATCGCACTGTGATTCCTTAATACCTGGACTAGAGTCTGACACAGCATGCGCTCAGCAAATGTCGGCTCTGTTAAAATAACTAAGAGTTTGTTAAAAATCTTGGTTACCTGGAAGCAGTTCCAAGTGTTATTTATTCTGCAACACCGACTTAAGCCCCCAGGTGCCCAAATTAAAAGTAATACCTCGTCTTCATGGGTGCCAAGAAATAGGGAGAAGGACTGCAGCCCCTTTCCGACAATTCAAATGAAAACATTGCTTCACAGACTTTCATGACCTCGGCCCAGTTTCCCACCAGACTGCTGCTCCCAAACCCATTTCTTTTGGAAATTCTGCACCTGCTGTAGAACTTTTGAGGAATCTATGGGATCAAATATCACTTTGACGTCCCTTGAGATGTCGCCCCAAAACCCTTCAAAGCAGCCTTGGCCTCCCCCATCTCTCTCAACCTGAGATGGGGGTGGCGCCACCGGCTGAGTTCCCCCAGAGGTCCATCTTTCGTGGGGGATTCCCACTCCGTGCCTCCAGCTTCTTGCAGCAGTCAAAGGCTGCAGACTGGAGGGCCTACTCCAAGCCGTCTGAGGCTTGGGGTTTCCTCGGAGGGCGGGCCTATAGGCGGGGGTGGGGCTACCGCCACAGGCCCCTCCTCCGAGGGTCCGGGCCCGCGCGGCGGCGGGAGGGACCGGCGGAACGCGGGCTACTGCGGGCTCCTCTGACAGCTACACTGTGCGGGGGTAGGGTAGGTTCCTTCCCTAGGGGGCGGATCTCGGTGCTGGGGGCGGGTCCAGAAGCCTCAGGCCCTCTCTTCCCGTGGGCCGGCCGACCAAAGACAGGGCGGGTTTCCTCCCCCGAAGGGCGGGCCTGGCGCCGAAGGCCCCTCCTCCCGAGGAGGGCTTGTTTGGCGGCGGCGGCCGCACGGGGGGAGCCCGCGGC